AGAGAAGTAAATATGTATCTAACTTATCATACCAGGCTCGTGGAGCCTGTTTGAGGCCGTATAAGGCCTTGTGAAGAAGATAGACATGCCTCTCCTTTTCTGGCTGAATGAATCCCGGTGGCTGCTCAACATAGATTTCTTCATTCAGCTTACCATTCAAGAAAGCCGACTTCACATCAAAATGCATCACACTCCATCCAAACTGAGCTGCCATGGCCAGAATGAGTAATTGTTTCATATCTGCTCACATGAGCAAAAGTCTCTGTGTAATCGATTCCAGGAAGTTAGGAGTACCCCTTTGCCATAAGCTGTGCCTTGTGCTTGTTTGTTGTCCCGTCCGGATTCAGTTTCACATTGAACACCCACTTTACTCTAATAGGTTTTCTGTATGCACTTAATTTTACCAAAGACTAGGTATTATTCTTCTCGATCATCCTGATTTCCTCTTCCATGGCAAGCTTCCACTCTTGCTGCTGAAATCCTTCCTCAACAGAGGAAGGTTCCTTTGAAGCAAAGCTGCACCTTTCATAGATGTCAGTTAAGCTTTTCATTTTTGTTCTCCCTTCTGCTTCATCTCCTTCATCTTCTTCCTCTTCTTCCTCAGCCTGAGTTGGGTTTAATACTGACAGAGATTTCCTTCCTTCTTCCACTGTTACACAGTCTGGTTCGACCTTCTGCTTCTCCCAATTCCAGTAGCTCCTTTCGTCCACTGTAACATCTCTTCGAATCATAAGCTTGTTGGTTTTCAAGCTTAGAATTCGATATGCATTTGCTTCAGTACTGTAACCCAAAAATACTCTCAATTCAGCCTTCTCTTCTAACTTTGATCTCCTGTCATCCGAGACATTGCAGTAGCACACCGAGCCAAACACCTTTAAATACTTAGTCGATGGTTTGATGCCACTCTAGGCCTCCACAAGTGTCATCTTTTTCACAGCCTTTGTAGGCAACATGTTGAGCAGGAACACGGCAGTGTTCACTGCCTCAGCCCACAAAGCTTTAGGCAAGTGCTTGTCAGGAAGCATGCTTCTTGCCATCTCCACAATGGTTCTGTTCTTCCTCTCCGAGACACCATTATGTTGAGGAGAATATGGTGTCGTGAGCTGCCTTTTGATCTCATTCTCAGAACAGAAGTCATTGAATTCACTGGAATTGAATTCAAGGCCATTATTCGTCCTTAGGCACTTCAGCACACAGCCACTTTCCTTCTCTGCCATGGCCTTAAACTTCTTGAATCCACCGAAAATTTGAGTTTTATTCTGCAGAAAATAAACTCAAATCATTCTGGAAAAATCATCTATGAACAAGCCAAAATACTTGCATCTACTTATGGAGTTTTCTGTCATCGGACCACAGATGTCAGAATGTATAAGTGTCAGCCTCTCTTATGCTCTCCAATCTGTTTGCGAAAGGAAAGAATTCCTTGCCATCTTCCCCATCTGGCAGGCACCACATACTGACTCAGTAACTGCAATGTTTGGGAAGTCCTTGGTTAGGCCTCCCCCTTCTGCAGTTGTTGTAGCGCAGCCGTATGAAAATGCCCAAGGCGCCTGTGCCATATCTCACCTTCTGTCATAGTGGCAACACTGACCTTCTCGACTACTTCTCTGAGCTTTAAGGAGTAGGCTTGATCCTTCTTTTGGATGAAAGCAATCAATCTATCCTCAGGATCATATATCCTGCAGCAATTATCTTTGAATGCAACTGAGTAGCCTCGATCAGTCATCTGATTCACACTCAAAAGATTATGTGAGATGGTAGGAACAAAATTCACATCAATGATAAGCTTCCTACCTTCCCTGGTTTCAATGGATATGTTACCTTTGCCCTTGATGGTTTCCAGCATACCATTTCCAAGTCGTACTTGGCCTGAGACTATTTTGTCAAGTGACACGAACAAGGCCTCATCCTTGCACATGTGGGAGGTGCACCCACTGTCCACCACCCAGAGAGTATCATCCTCCACTGATAGCTCACTTGATGCAACGAGAATTGTAGCACATTGCTCACTGGACACCTCGGTGACATTGGCATGCTGTAGTTCCTGCTTTGGCTGCAATCCTTCCTGCTTCTGTTTCTGCCTGCAGAATTTCTCCTTATGACCAAGCCTTTTGTAGAAGTTGCACCGAACGACTTTCTTTCCCTTGTACCAGCACTCATTTTTAGGGTGATTTGTCAAGGAACAAATGCTGCATTGAGGATATTTCTTTTGCTTACTGGAATTTTGAGTTCCAGTTTGATTCCCTTCACTCTTTCTCCCTTGATGCTATGTTGAAAAGCTACCTTTGATCTGAGTTGAAATTAAGACTCCCTCAGTATGTTGTCGAACATACATATTTACCCGTTGCTCACTGGATTGAAGCTTGTTTATCAGCTCAACCAAGGAGATAGATTCAATGTCGGCAAGCTCCTCCAAGGTTGAGATTTTAGACTCGAATTTAAGGGGTAAGCTGATAAGACTCTACCACTCTTGATTTCGGAAAATCCTCCCCAAGCAGTCTTATTTTGTTTACCACATCCGAGAGTTTGGAGGCATAGTCCTTCACTGATTCATTTTTTCTGCATTCTGAGTAATGCAAACTCACTCTTCAATCTCAAGATTTTCATCTTCCTGCTTCTGACTTCCCCCATCGAACTCTTCCTTCAGTTTCTCCCAAACAGCCTTTGGTGATTCGAAATTCATAAATCTTTGAAAACACCCTATCCGAGATAGCCGAGAAAAGGCAAGCAATAGCCTTTGGTTTCTTGGCCTTGTCTTCCTCGTGTCTTCTGATTTGGTTTAGAGTGGCAGTATCCCTTAGTGGAGGAGGATCGTTGTCATCCATAATAACATCCCACAGACTTAAGATTTTCAGATGGGCTCTCATTTTGATTGTCCATACATGGTAATTTTCTCCGTTGAAGTGTGGGGGAGGTGAGGTTCCAGTGGATGTCATCGGGTTTTTGAGGGTATGTTGATTTACCGGTCCCTTAAGATAAGGGCTCTGATACCACTTGTTGATCGTAAGTAAATGAGCTTCAAAGGAAGCTCTATGAATGAGCAAACTTAGAGAGAGAAAGTTGATGAGAGAGAGGGACAACGAAACAGAGTAAGATTATGCAACAGCTTCTGTTTTGTAATTTTCAGAAAGACTGTGTTTTTTGTAGAAGAAAAGACTATTTCTCATTTCATTTCTTGCTTGTATATATAAGAATACAATAATAGAAACAGATTACATCAAACCAAACGATAAAATCAAAAACTTCGAAATCCATGTATACACGTTGCATGGTGTTTACGTATCCTACCGTAAAACAACTTCACGGTTGATTTGAATTTAAATTTGAAACTAAACAGATAAAAAATTATTAAATTTAATAGTATATTTTATTTTTATGGATAATTGTTTTACTAGTAGTGTTGATTTAACAAATAAATATATTATTGAAGGCGCATGTTAAATTCACCTAAAATAAATATGATGTCTGTCACTATGTAATGCTCCTCGGCATCAAGCTTTTAAAGAAAAAGAACTCTAAATTATTCATGAGGGATAAAGTATATTAGTCATTACTACTTGGTAGATTATTAAATTGTACACAAATATATATATATATATATATATATATTACTTTGAGGAATATCAACTCCTACGTAAAGAGAATTAATTATGGTTCGGTGTTGATTCCTAAAATATTTTGTGATGCACACTTGGCTCAATTAAAATATATATATATATATATATATTAATAAAAGATAACAAAATTAATTTTATATAAAATTATTCATGATTACATGTTTAATTACCTTTTATTATCTTTAAAAATAGATGGTTCACCATATGCTCTTTAAACTAAATGTAGATTTACATAATCTAAGATGCCTCCTTTCATATTATATTGGCCTTGGATGGAATAATAGAAGTATAATATAGTTAAATCTGAATAAATTGTGTACTGATAGAAATAAAATTTGTAAAACCATAAGAAGATTCGGTTTTAAATATATAAAGTTTGAGCCCGATTAAGCATACTAAACAGGAAAGTAAAACAAAAGTAAAAACTATATTATATAACCACGTCGGAATTGAATAGATTTTTGCTTCTAAATTCAAACCTGACCGACTCACTTTTCTTATGGGCACGTTTTTTCTTTTCGTCTCTAGCCGTAATATTACATTTTTTTTATAAAAGTTAAAAGCTAAAGGTTAAAATCAGTTTCAGTATTAAAGTCAAAATCAAATTCATAATTATTAAAAAAACAAAAAACAAACGCCAAAAATTTTATAAAATTAGTGATGCACTAACTGAAACTTTAAATTTAAACATTAAATGTGACAAATGTTATAATGAAGGTGGTTCAAAAATGTGCAAATCAATGAGTTCATTTTCGTTTTAAATCATTCATTAAAAATAATAGTATAATATTTGTACTTGATTTAACATAATTCTCTTATTTTATATTTTTAACCTATGATTTTACATATTTATTTATATTTAGGCCTAATCGTTTTGGAGATAAATAGTAGTAAATGTTTTTACCAAATATTATGTACATGCGCATATATAATTTAATTATTACGTATATTATAATAAAATCAAAATATTAGATTTAACATGTTAATATATCCCTTCAGAATAAAAACCCAAAATTCTAACCAATACAAAAATTTAATACATTTACAATAAGTTTCATTCCATCCAAAAAAAAAAAAAAGGGTTCATTAATATTAAATTTCACCTAAATTTAAAAATAAAATTCTTTGATCCTCTCTGTTCAATTAACCATAACTCTTCTCTAAAATATATATATATATATTAACAAAAAATAAACAAACAAACAAGCAAACAAAAACTCAGTTTAAAAATCTCTTCTTTTTTTATTAGAATAAACTTAAACAAAAATTAAAAAAAAAAACCCTACTTTTACCAATCATCCTCCCAAAGAGCATTAAAGAATAAAAAGAGCTAAATATAAACAGTGATGACAAACAACTGGAAAGCAGCCACAAACACCAAAGTCGTGAACCAGATGTATCATCTATGCATTTTGTATTATAATCATACAGAAATACAATCATGTATTTTGTTTACCTGATTACTATATAAAGCTATTCAGCATCAGATGTAATGTGGGTGAAGTACGTTAATGATCTTAAAGAATACAAGGTAACACTTACAGAGGAGGATAGAAATATGAAGACAAAGAAAAACAGAGGAAGAGCAGGCCTCCAATGGTGGCAACTGTGCCTTGTGAGATCTTGGATGCCAGCATGCTTCCTCCCACTACTGCAAGCGACGTGCAAATAGTATGTCCTAGGGTTGCCCCTACAGCTACTCCAACCGCATTTTTGTGTGTCGCCAGCTACACCATCATAATTTCATGTTTATATCAAATCCCCAGTTCAAATTTAGATAATCTTTGGGCATTTTAGAAAAATATGTGCTTATTGCTCGGGTTCTTTTAAGTTACTTGAGCACTAAACTGCTAACTTTAAAAAATAAGCATGTGTGGAAACTAAATTTAGAAAAAATGTTCTATATGTACTTTCATAAATATAGTCAACCAATACAGTAAAGTTAACAGGAATAAGCTTATTTTTGGAAGCTAAATTTTTTTTAAAAAAAAAAAAAGAATGTTCTCTACTGTACTTTCACGAATACAGTCAACCAATACAGTAAAGTTTACAGGAATAAGCTTATTTTTTCCCGACTCAAAAATAAGCTTCATTAACAAAACATTTGGCACTTAACAAACAACATGCTTATTAAGATTTGAACAACCTCATAAGTAGAACTAAAAAAATCTGGATATACTTCCAAAGACAAATTGAATATTGTTGCAATGACTAAGTCAAGGAGGGATTTCAAAAATAAAATAAAATTTCCAGCATGCTAGAAACCAAATTATATGGATATGAAATGGTTACATCTGTAATCAGTAAAGTTGAAGAATGATAAATATTTCTAAACCCTAAAATACATGTACCAACATAATTGAGAACCTTTAGTGTCTACGTGGCAAACAGAAGTTGAAGCAGTGCTAGAAAGGTTAAATTCAAGCAACACATCATGATATAGTGCAACTCCCAGTCAGGATAAAGTAACCACAATGAATAAGGAACCATCCCATAAGTACTGACACAATCAATTCGGTCATAAAGAGTACTCTTTTAAACAAATAAACAAGATAACATCCTACAATGCCCTAAATGGACCCTTGGTAGGGGTAACAAGATTAGCTTCTGAGAAGACACTTGGTGTGGTGAGGAGAATTTCCAATCAAAATTTCCTCTCATTTATGCGATTAGCAGAAACAAAAACTGCCTGGTTGGTCATATGTTCAGCAATGGAAATCCCGGAGGGTGGAATGTCAATGTTACCAGAAATCTTAAAGATTGGGAAGTGGACGAATATGAGACTTTGCTCCTCACCGTGGCTAACATTCGGTTCTCAATTCAAGAAGACAAGCTCTGCTGGAAATTGAAAAGGAATGGTCAATTTTCTGTTAAGTCATTCTACCACCACATGAACCGATCCAACAATAATGTTTCGAGGGACTTTCCCGATCCAACAATAATGTTTCGAGGGACTTTCCTTCAAGAATTGTCTGGAAATCTGGAGCCCCTCCCAGAATTTCTTCTTTTGCATGGGAGGCTGCCATAGAAAGGATTCTCACAATTGACAATTTGATAAAATAAAAAAAAGCCTCCCTATGGTGAACAGATGCTTCCTATGCAAATTCAGCCAGGAATCCTGCAACCGTCTTCTTGACTGCTCTTTTTCTTATAAATTATGGTCCATGGTCTTGGGGCTCTTAGGCTTATCTTGGGCGATGGCTGGCACGATCAGTTCTGAATTATTGGCCTGGAGGGTATCAACAGTAGAAAAAAAGCTATTGGCATCATACCCCTTACTATATTTTGGATTATTTGGAAAGAGCGCAATAATCGTGCTTTTGAAGGGAAGGAAGTTGACTTTAATACCATCAAGGACAATTAATTTCACTATTTTAGCTCTAGTGTCCTAGGGCATAACCTTAATTGTATGGATGATTTTGGCTATATTGTAGATATGCTAATAGAGATGTAAACTTTTGTACATGGGCAGTGCCCCCTTGGCACCACACTAATACATACTCTTCCTGCTTTTATTTCAAAAAAAAAATAAACAACAAGAATAATTAATCAATCAATCAATCAGTGAGTCAAGGAAAAGAAATTATCTTACAGCAATTGTTGCTATCTGGCTACGGTCACCCCACTCTGCTAGGAAGGTTAAGATAAATGACTGCACAAATGATATATATTCAGCTGTCGTGATACTTATAATAATTAAACAAATTAAGGCTATGGGCTCTAATATTAAAATTACGCCTGAACACCACCAAGATAAATTCATGCAATATCATTAATGAGTCAATAATTAACTGAGTGTGTCCATATGAGTGGAAAAACACATTGCATGGAACCAAATCCTGGAATTATACCTCCAAAAAAATTGGCGTACAAAATCTTGAAAAGAAGCGGCGATAGGCTGCTTTTCCTTGGCCAGATTCAAGCTTCTCTTCTACCTGAAAAGTGATATAAATAAGAATCAATATAAGGACAGACAAATCTTGAAAAAACATGTCTGCAAAAGAAAAATGTACATGTATATTTTCTATCCATTCCATGAGAGCATCCAGATAATTTTTATCATCGGTTAGGAACACTTTCCCGCTTATGTTCTCAGGAGTTCAGGGATATGATCAACAGCCTAAGTCTTATGGATTTTCCCCGGGGGTTGGACATGGTTCAGTCCCTGGTACTCGTTAATAAACTTCCAAACTTTCCTTCTCAAAATTTTGATACAAGGAAAGAGACTCATGCAGCTTGTGAGGAAAACTGTATCATTTTAGGGTTAGGATGTTATCCATTTCTATTACTGGCATAGTTTTATTTTTTCTTGTTTAGCAAGTAATATATCTAGTAATTTTCTATTTAATCTTGATACAATGAAATTACAAGAGAACCATGCAGCTTGTGAGGAAAACTGTATCATTTTAGGGTTAGGATGTTATCCAATTCTATTCCTGGCATAGTTTTATTTTTTCTTGTTTCGCAAGTAATATATCTAGTAATTTTCTATTTAATATCCTATGTATAACAAAGTACCAGTAAAACACTCTAAATAGATTCCCAACCACCAGTCCGTTGAATTTTCAATCCCTGTTATTATGGACCACCAATCACTATTATTATGGATTCTGTGCTTCTTTCCTCCCTCTGTTTTCTATCTTTTCTATTTTCTACTATATTTTGCTGCATCACTATATACCTTTTGGTGTTTCTCTTACTCCTTATTGGTTAAGGATAGAACTAAAGAGACATTGCAAAGAAAAACTCATCATATTTAAGCAACTAAACTTGCATAGAATTGGTGAATATGTGGGGGGTACATCCTGATCCAAGTTGGTTTACTATTTGGACTGACGAGCATCTTTGTTAACAATGATTGTAAAGGAACATAATATGCACAAAGCACTGTAATGAAGAGAGTGCACAAAGCACTGTAATGAAGAGAGTGTTCAGAGAAAGGAGGAATAAGAAAGAAGACAAAAGTTGCGCTACAGTTGTATATATTTATGTGCATTTGAAATTAAAATTGAGAACCAGAACCATACTTCCTCCATTTCTTTCTTCTGGGATGATTTTGAATCTGATCTCCAAGCAATGTAAAGCAACCGCAACCCAAAGAATGCATAAAGAACTACAAACGCAAATGTGACAAAATTTAGATCCCACATATCTCATTGAAATTCTGAACTAGTCTATGAAATTTCAAAACCAGAGAGCAATACAACCAACAGAATGCAAATCAAAATTCTTAAGATAAACAAACTATATGTGTTTATTCTCATTTGGACGTGCTTATAACACCATCTCAAAAACAAAAGGTGGCTGTGTTTATAACAAGACCATTTTACATAAAGAAGAAAGAAATGTCAATAATTTAACATATTAAACCAGACAGATTGGAGACGAAGAAAAACAGGCCACAGGAAAAGGCTATAGCTTCATATGTTGGCTTTAACATTGATTACTATTTTGAATTCTTTGCTTATAGAGATATCACATTTCATGTTGTTCAAATCAATTATATTCTCATTCAATTCCTAAATCTTCATTATTTGATATATTGAACTAGGTCATAATTTATATATTTAATACATAATTAAACAAATCTTACTTGCACCTTCAGTTCAACAATTATAGCTTCTATTTTTACTTTTCAAAAATAGATTGGCAAATATACATACCTTGAATTGATCAATACATTGTATGAAAATTAAAATACTATTTGTATTCAAATATTTATCTCATTGATCTTGTATTCTCATTCCTATTACATATAATTGAAACTTGAACCAAAATCAACTTCACTGCAACGCGATTCAAAAATAACAGAAAAGCTTTTAGCCTAATATCCCTATGTCATTGTGGCTTAAAAAAGATACAGATGTCACCATTTTTCAGTGATATCATAGCATAGACACCAATAGCCAATAATAAGAGAAACTAGGAATGAACATCCAATAGGATGGCCACAAGCACCCACATAATTCTATTTTTTGCCGGGCATGGATTAAAATAAAGAGTTAAACGTAAGAACTAAATAAGGTGCTAGATTCTGAAATCAAGCAAAACATGCCGGTTGGGTCAGGAAGAAGTCAGAAGAGGGAAGAGGAACCAATATTCCCAGATAAGCGCTGAGCATACAAGTTTTTGATACTTAGATAACAGATATCATTCTCTTAAAAATTTCATTCAGTTAGAAATTGAAGAATCTGCAAGTGAATAGAGTAAGATATGTCTGATAGAGCTTAACAACCAATTTGAAAAAATCAAACAGGACAAGGTTGGTATGCAGCCAAGAACATTATGGAAGAGAAAACATGTTTGCTAGCTAAGTAAGAAAGGGGTAAAAACAGCTAGACGAAGAGAAGAATATTCATACCTGTTGCTGCACTATTTGTATGCTTCCTTGATATTAAATTTGGAACAATCCTACCTAGCCCAGTGGAAAGTACCTGATTAACATGCAGAACAGCGTTAACCTTGGAAATATTGGAAATGAAGGGATGTAGAACATGATAATGCTTTATCGCCATTTTATTATTAGCCAGAATTGTCAGTAACGCAAAATGCAGAGACAGAAAATAAGCAGATTCAGTATGGTAAACATTTAGATGGAAGAATAACGGGCTAACTTACTGTCATAACAATCAAGGCTGTGAGAGCACCAGATAAAACTGTTGATTTGGGATGACGCATAGCCATGAGTGCTGCTATTATGAAAGTTTCATCTCCAATCTAGCAGAGCATCAAAAGTAGTGAGAATCATTGTTTCGCTCAACATAGAGAACTGACATAGTAAAATCTACTGAAGCCGCATTAAAACCGAATAACATGTGAACTAATTCAGAAACAGAAATATTATATTTCGAATTTCTTGGAAATGATAAAAGGCTTCGAAAATCACAGAATATTGAGAAGAGCTGAAAATCCAGAATCTAGAGAAGTGCAGAACAACTTGTACAATAGGAAAACCAAAGTAAAAGGAAAGTAGATTTGCACCTCACTGACAAGGATCATTGACAAGCTTGTAAAGAATGCATCAAAAATCCCAAGGCCAGTAGAAGCAAAGCCAAGGTTTAGACCAAGGGAGTTGATATCACTATCGTCTCCTACATCATCAATCCCAAGCCTGTTTGTGCCCATCTGTACATAGAAATTCACAATGAACATGACTGAATTTTAAAACAAGCCAGCAATTAAGAAAATGTCAAAGATCAAAGCGGAAGTATTGTGAAAATCTCTACTCCCTGTGAAACGAACATGTATTTTGCCATAATCTAGATCTTACAGCATTTAAGATAAAATATAAAATTCACAAATGTAAAGGATGCAATTATGGTCTCAGATCTTGGGGAAACAAAAAAGGAAACCATCACCATGCCTCGGCGACCCAGGTCTTTAAGTAATCCACTTGTTTCTTCTTTGTCATTTTCAGCAGCAGATTCCTAGTAAAAACAAATACATCTCGATTAATGTGAGAAAGGTAAACGAATTTACATGTCTACACCTGCGTATATATATTTAAACATATGTACTCGCGCATCCGTTACCAAATAATGTTAACTCAAACAAGCATAACGAACAACAAATTGGGAAAGATGTATATGCTAGTGGTAAGAAAACACAAAATTCTGCATCTAAACAAGTTTCAACTATCTAATATAGTAATTTTAACTCCATTTTTGGGTAAACAAAAGACGGATACCTGAGCAGAGACGGGTGAAAGAGTCAAGAAGAGGAATGTGGCAACAAGGAGTAGGAGCACGGAGGAAGAGGAATCCCTTGAGTTTGAGCGCAAACGCATGGTGGAAGATGTAAGAGACGCGGGGTACTTTGTTTGGCGACGGAGGAAAAACGCACGTTTGTAAGGGAAGAGGAGATCCGAAGATGAGGATCTTAGAGATGGAAATGCGATTCAGATTCCGATTCCTGTGATCTCAAGGAAGACAAACAAAGAAGCGAAATTTCTGAGAAAATGAAGAGATCCTGCAAGGAGCGAAGATCTCCAGAAGGCGGAGAACAGAGAAATGAACACATAAACGCGTGGTCCTAGGGAAGAACTTTGGAAGAGGCAGGGGAGAGGGGGAGGCGAAAGGGAAGAGGGGGCTTCAGTGCGGTATAAACCGATCACAGTCGTCAGAAAGGGGAGGGCTAGGCTACCTTTGCTTACAAACTAAGTTACCAATATGCTTGAAAAGTGCAAAATCACGACCGTCCGTTTGCTTGACCTATCACCTTTTCACAGTCTTACCTTCATTTAATTTTCATACAACTTGCATTATTTTATATATATATATATATGCTAAAATAATAAAGTTCACAATTAACATTAGAAAATGCCAAATTCAGCATACATTTATATGTATATATTCAAATTTTAGTTTTTACTTTCAAATTTAAATCAAAACTTTTCAAATACTAATAAATATCATTTGTGCATTGTCGTGTGGTACTACATTTAAATAAGGTTTAAAAAGTCTAACTTAGAACCCCTTCTTGATTTTCTCCAATTTCTTTTCTTATCTTTTTTTTCTTTATAGTCAATCATAATCCTAATTCTATAGTTGATAACTCATCTTTCACTGATAAATTTGGTTCATTGAAAATCATTAATCTCGTTAAAAATTATGTGTTTTACCAAAAATTTCCTCTTTATTAGCCATTAATAAGTTTTCAAAATTGTCTTTTTATCTGAAATTATAATTGATTGTAAGTAGGAGATAGTTTGTTATAGATTTAATCTATTTCACATTTATATTTAATAGAAAGTTATTTACGAGAGGAGAGACATAATATTCAAATTTGTATGCCTTTTATTTTTAGTTATATTGTAGAGCTTTTACTTCCATCCTTTTACTTAGTATTCCTCTGAATACTTGATGATGATATTATCTTTTAACAATCCTTCTTTTTTTCATTTGGTGGTTAAGTTAAATTTAAATAAGTTTTATATGCTAAGAGAAATTTTAAAAAAAAAAAATTTGTTAAAGGCAAATCATCATCTCAATTCAAGAACAAAATTCTTGCAAGCTTCACAATGATAATTTTAGCAATCTCACTTAAAAAAATTAAAATATGGACTTGCTTATAATTTACTAATCATTTATTTCCAAGTTAATCATTTTATGTTAGCTTTCTTATAGCAATTTTAAAGTTAAACACAATACAGCTCATTTGAACTATGAATTAAAAGCACCCACCACATATGACCACATATGAACTTAATGAACTATAATTTGGGTTAAATTGTTAGCTATTGACATCATAGTTGATTAGGTTATTATGCTTTATATGAACAAAATTTCTTATTATTATATCAAAAAAATTAAATAATTATTGATCATTTGTAATGTTTTCTTGTTATGGTTCCTACTTTATGATTCTATTATGTGACAATTAATACGAGCTCATTAAGAGCGAAACTACGGATCTTAAGAGTTTAAATACCAAATGAATCTTTTCTGAAATTATGTTTCTACTTAACTTCATTCCTTATATAATAACCTTTATAAGGTCTTACCTAAAGATGAACATTGTTGCTAGATATATAGTAGAAAAATAAAATTGCAAAGCCTGTAAGTTAAAAATGGAATAGGTGAATTTGACCATTTTCAGAAATACAAAGTGAACTTTTATAAAAGGCAAGATTAAAAGAAAAGAGTTGATTATCTAAATGCGGAAGAAAAAAATAAAATTAGGGTTTACATTCCTTACACAGTAAATTGAAATACCCAATAAAGTTACGAGAATGTACCTCATACATTGATTCATAAAAAAAGACAAACGATAATCAAAATAAATAAATAGATATCCTAGGGGGTTAACCTCCACTAACACTTGAAGGAGAGTTCGAGATGTAATCTACTTACAACTCTCTTACTGATCAAGATCTGAATCTTAGTCTTCTTAATCTGCAATGATTAATAAAATGGTGAACTACACTAATCCAGTAAGAATATCACACTAATCACTGATATGAAAAATCGAAGATTAGTAAAAATTACAAAATAACTGATGGAACCATTGATTTAAGTAAATACATTTAACTTTAAAACGTTTTATTCAATACTTACTGTTACGGATTTTTCCAAAATCAACCTATAAAGACAAGTAACCAAATGACATTTTAATTTTATGTATAAGATCAGTAATTCTTCATATTTAATCTATTTACTGGGACCACTTGAAGTTAATAAGAATATCTCTCTACTCATGAACCCAGTGTCTCGATTTGATAATTAACTCGGTCGTCTCTATATCTCGTTCGGTAATGGGTGCCAACATGTTATCCCCTCGATATCTCGTCTGATATGAGGTGAACCACTTTTCTCAAACCCTTCCGGTAAGGAACTTCTTAGCCCCCTCCGACAGACGTAATGTTCACAGTAGGATTCCCTATGTACTATACATAGATTTTCATTGTCCAAACAACCACCAATCGCATATTATACATTCACAAATCAATTTAAATGACATCTAAGCAAATGATACAACTTATATAACTGAATAACCAAGTAACCAGATAATTAAATAATCAGTACGGGAGAACCTAAGTAAACTAAATAACCGAGGACACAATTTAAATTGGCAATTTAATACACACAATACAATAGTAAACATCTTAAGGAACATAGGAGAAACTTAACATTAAACCAGAGCAATCGTACACTGATCAGTTCTACCTCTATTACTAACCGGTAATTATTGTTAGGATTTTTTTAATTTTTACAAAATACAAGATTATTGATTATTAAGTCTCACTTTATCATAACAGAGAATAAAGTGAGGGATCCTTACCCAAATCGGTATTGTTGAAATATCGTACTACTCACTATGCCTCTTGATACGACTCGGGTTTTCTGAATTTTTTCTGCAAAAATTAAAATACTCGTCACGTACCTAAAAATATCCTAAAATTTCAAAATCAGTGTCAAAAATCCTTTTCGACAAATTTTAGGGTTCCGGCACGGCGTCTCTGTCGTGCTCCAGCGCCGGCTCTGCTACTCACTGCAACGGTTTGCCTCGATCTAGCCAGTTTTGACCAATTTTAACTTGTTTTAGTCGGTTTTACATAGCGAAAAAATACGTTAGAAAGTCTCAGTTGGCTAGAAAAATTTAAAAACTAAACCTACCAGCAAGGGGATCTCCGGGTGTGGTAGCTATGCCAGTTCTCCTTCGTGGCTGAGGTTTCTTCTTCGGTTAACCTGCATATAAAGGGACAGTGAACACGATGGTCAAAGAACCGTATGAAATGGAAAACGAGAAGGGGGTCATTGAAGAGAGTTTAGGGTTTTGGTCACGGTGGCTCTACCTGGTTTTACCTGCGATTTTCGGTTCACTTTTCGTCCCATTTGCTCCGATATGGCCACAAGCAGACTTGAAATCAAATTCCGAGTAGGAAGGAAATTTTTTTTACCTCTTTTAGCGGTTGACTGTGGCTCCAGTGTGGCAGCAGCCGATGGTCGGCCTCCTTCTTCAGCGTCTGGTTCTTCTTCTCTGGCGAGGGCAGAGCAACTAGAGTTTGAGTTCCATAGAACGCGCTTAAATACCCTGTGTCTTAATAATTATTGATTATTAAGTCTCAATTTATCATAACAGAGAATAGAGTGAGGGATCCTTACCCGAATCGGTATTTTTGAAATACCGTACTACTCATTATGCCTCCTGATATGACTCGAGTTTTCTGATTTTTTCTGCAGAAATTAAATACTTGTCACGTACCCAAAATATCCTAAAATTTCAAATCAGTGTCAAAATCCTT